CGCTGCACTGCGTTATGGTCCCCACGCTCCTTCCTCGCCCGTCCCGGCCTGCGAGGGCGAGCGCAGCGCCCCACCAAGACGAGAGGAGCCGCCTCTGCTGCAGTCCGCAGCAAGCGCTTTCCTTGTCGTGTCGTTGTCGGCAGTTCTGAAGCTTCCAGCACGTTTAAATTTCCGTCCTTCGCATCCCCGGATGTTTTTGTTCCAGCCCTCCTTTTCCCTTTGGCGCCTGGGAGCCGTAGTCTTCCCGCGGGCGGCCATGCTCTCCCGGTGACGGCGCTTCCCAGCCGCCCGACCCGGAGGTGGCGGCGGGCCCTGACCTCCCCTGTGTCCCGCCGGCCTCTCGTGTCCCCCGGACTCGGCCTAGGGCTGCCCCGGGGCTCGCTCTTTCCCCCCTTCGCCTCTCCCGCCGCACTGCTTTGTGGAGCGCCTAACGCTGCCCCGTGCCCTCTTCTGACGGTAAGTGACAGAAACGGAGCGTTTCCAGCGGCAGAAGCAGTTTAAACGCTGTCCAGGTAGCGCAGCAGCCTTGGGGGAGGAGTGCGACACACTAGTTATTCTCCAAGCTTATTATCGCTTCCCCCTGAACCGTCCTTTTTTAGGTAATTCACATGGGAAATTAAACCTCTGCACAAGAAGCGCCAAACACAGCTAATGCTAGACGTGCAAAAGCAAACACCCGAGAACAAAACACACTGATCGCTCTCCTTCCCTTCCCGTGTCCTGTCTTGTGCTTCCAGCACAACATGTTCTCTGCCAGGAAGGTGCTGGGAAGCTGCGGAGCCGGCAGACCTCTCCGCTCCCACGTCGTGTCCCGGAGCTCTCCGGACCTGACCTTCGTGCCCGCGTGCCTCCCCCCCGATCCCGGCGAAGTGGAGGAGCTGCAGCATTTCATCTCTCGGTCCAAGAAGCTGTTTGTCATGACCGGAGCCGGCATCTCGACCGAGTCGGGGATCCCGGATTACCGCTCGGAGGGCGTCGGGCTCTACGCCCGCACGGACCGGCGGCCGGTGCAGCACGGTGAGTTCGTGAGCAGCGCCCGCGCCCGGCAGCGCTACTGGGCCAGGAACTTTGTGGGCTGGCCCCAATTCTCCTCTCGGTGGCCCAACGCGGCTCACTTGGTGCTGAGGGACTGGGAGCAGCGCGGGAAGCTGCACTGGCTGGTGACCCAGAACGTGGACGCCCTGCACGGCAAAGCGGGGAGCCAGCGCCTAACAGAGCTGCAGCGCTGCACGCACAGGTACTCCCCTGGAAGGGGACAGATGGAGACTCTGGGAGCATTTTGTGGGTCATTCCCCTTAGTGCCTGGGTCAGAATCTCCCCTTTCCTTGCTATGGCAAATTTCCTTTACTCAGGTGAAGGGAGCAGGGTGGTAGTGCCAGGGAAACCCAGCAAGAGAGCTGGAGAGGAGCCACCGCTGCCTGCGACTGCTCTGGTTTCCGCACGGGAAGGCACAGCCTCACTCAGGAGCGGGGCACAACTGGCCTCCGAGCATCCTCTGGAGCATCCCTGAAAAGCAACGAGTTCTGGAGTGGGGACCGCTGGCTGGCTGGCAGGAAGGGGGTTCTTTCAGAGGTGTAACTAATTATTACTGTTTAAGGAGCTCTTAATTTGTCTGTCTCAAGTAGAGGTTGAAAGACAGTCTGGATAGTGACAAGGGCACCAGGCTCCGGCTGAAAAGAGCTCTCTAAGGCTTCGCTCTGCGTTCCAGGGTTTCCTGCCTGGGCTGTGGAGACCAAACCTCGCGCTCGGAGCTTCAGGAGCGCTTTGAAGCTCTTAATCCCACCTGGAAGGCCGAGGCGCTCGGTGTGGCTCCCGATGGGGACGTCTTCCTGACGGATGAGCAGGTGCGCACCTTCCAAGTGCCGGCCTGCAGCAAATGCGGCGGCATCCTGAAGCCCGACGTGACCTTCTTTGGAGACACGGTGAGCCGGGACAAGGTGAACTTCGTGCACCAACGGCTGGCGGAGTCGGACTCCATGCTGGTGGCAGGATCCTCCATGCAGGTAACCAAGTGTTCCTGCTTTCCTTGATTCTCTTTCCGTCCTTGGGGCCACAACATGGGATTGCTGTTTGCTGACATGTTGATCGATGGCCTCTCCAGAGCTTCCTGGTATTTTATTTTTACTGTCCTTGGAATCTGGCTTCACAGTTGCCCTGCTTGGGCTTCCCTGTCACTCCAGCATCAATCTCCTTGAAGCTGCTATAAATAACATCGCTCACGCATTCTGCCCTCTCCTGCAATGCTCTGTCACTGCATAGGCTCCCTTGTAGAGCCAGGATCCATGACACAACCCAGCCCTGCAGAGATCACCACCCCGCATTTCTTTGCTTGAGCTTTTAGCCTTTGGTGGCTTCTTAGGGATCGTGTACACTGTGTGAAATACCAGATTTTAGGATCTCTAGTTCCTAAACTGCTGAAGACAACAGAAAATCTTTGCTTGTCACTTAGGACTATCTTTGTTTTACAGTCTTTCTCCATTAGCCTTGTTTTATCAATAAGGTAACGTGCTCTGAACCCGCTGTTGTTTAATATGGGGAAGTTTCTGGAGCAGACTTTGCATAATTGATGTTTTCCAGCAGCAACCTTCTATTATAAAATGCTAATCTACATAAGAAAAACTACTCTAACACCTCCCAGAAGAAGGCTGTCCTGTTGCGATTCTCTTGGCTTCAGGATATGAGGGACAAATCCCATGAGCCTGCACTTCTGGAGCTCCTCATTCTATAATATAGGAATGACTGAAATACCTCAGGTTCATTCTTGTACTTCCTAAGCTGGACCATGTGAGAACCATCAAAGTAGAAGGACTTAAATACCTGTAGTAGCTAACAAAAGCTAGTCCAGAGATTTACTGGAAGGACATTTCCCTTCAATGTAAATATTTTCTGTGGTAAAACCCTTCAGTGACACAGGTTAAAAGCTGGTCGTTTCAGTGCACGCCTGAATAAGGAAATTTCCTGCTCAGATTAAGTTGCATAACACAGCAAGTACCTCCTGCCCCTTTTCCCACTACCAACCACCATCACCGTACGCTCTCCTCTCACTTCCCTCGTGCCTGTTGAGCTGACAGGTGTCTCTTGCCCGCTGTGCAGGTGTACTCTCCCTACAGGCTGACAATGTCTCTTGCCCCATATGCAGGTGTACTCTGGCTACAGGCTGATGGTGTCTCTTGCCCGCTGTGCAGGTGTACTCTCCCTACAGGCTGACAATGTCTCTTGCCCCATGTGCAGGTGTACTCTGGCTACAGGCTGACGGTGTCTCTTGCCCTAAATACCTGTAGTAGCTAACAAAAGCTAGTCCAGAGATTTACTGGAAGGACATTTCCCTTCAATGTAAATATTTTCTGTGGTAAAACCCTTCAGTGACACAGGTTAAAAGCTGGTCGTTTCAGTGCACGCCTGAATAAGGAAATTTCCTGCTCAGATTAAGTTGCATAACACAGCAAGTACCTCCCACCCCTTTTCCCACTACCAACCACCATCACCGTACGCTCTCCTCTCACTTCCCTCGTGCCTGTTGAGCTGACAGGTGTCTCTTGCCCTCTGTGCAGGTGTACTCTCCCTACAGGCTGACAATGTCTCTTGCCCGCTGTGCAGGTGTACTCTGCCTACAGGCTGACAATGTCTCTTGCCCGCTGTGCAGGTGTACTCTGGCTACAGGCTGATGGTGTCTCTTGCCCACTGTGCAGGTGTACTCTCCCTACAGGCTGACAATGTCTCTTGCCCCATGTGCAGGTGTACTCTGGCTACAGGCTGACGGTGTCTCTCGCCCCGTGTGCAGGTGTTCTCTGGCTACCGGTTCGCCCTGGCTGCCCGGGAGAAGCGGCTGCCCATCGCAGTGCTCAACATCGGGCCGACCAGGCTGGATCACTTTGCGTCGCTGAAGCTGAACTCGCGCTGTGGGGAGCTGCTGCCTTTGATCAAGGCCCACTGACCCGGCCAGCCGAGGGCCGGCGCCTGCCGAGGGGAAACGTTTTCCCAAGGTGAGTGTCCTGCGCGCTCGGTCACCCCGCGGGGCAGACATTGTCCCTGCTCACGGGCTCCTCAAACACTGAGACATCCTGCCACAAAGACACTGAGAGGAGCTAACTGAAAATACATTCTGATAATGCACACATTTTTTTCTGTAACTGGTGCGTTCTGGTGGGCCACAGGTCTACTTTCTGTGGTCATAAATGAAAAACACGTTGATTCACCTGAGTACAAACGCTCAAGAAATGGGCAAGGGAAGCCAGAAATCTACATGGAATAAGCTGCAGATGCCACACACCTGATCAGCGCTATCAATGCTACAATCTTTCCTTGTAATGCAGAGATTCATTAAGATCTGTTAAGTCCCTGTGATTCTTACTGATGATTGGAAAGCGGTGCCTGGTTGAATTAGTCCAGCTAATCCAAGCCCTGCTGTGCAAAATAACCAATTCCATCTATAAAGCAGCTTCTTCCCTCCATTCTTGCAGGACCTATCATCTCCAAAGTGGAAATACTGTAACCAAAGAGGCAGCTGTGGGACCAGCACACAGCCCTGGAGAAGCCCAGGAGAGGGCAGTAACCCTCACACGCACCAGCCAGGCCAGTTCTCTGCACTGAAATCATCCCCACTTACGAGGGAACAGAGGAATGATGAAAAACACTTGTCCTTTTTTTTTTTCCTCCTCCCTTATCCTGCTGTTGAAACAAGCACCTTTTCCTTGCAGGGACGGAGACAGGATGATCAGAATTCTGTGTCTGTAACAATTCTTATAGTTATCCCAAGAGAAGAATGAGGGACAGGGTTTGAGTAAGTTGATGCGTTAGAACAGCACAGAAGGGCACCGTCACCAGCCTGTCAGCTGGGAGAACCACTGACACTGCAGAGAGCAAAAGGAGGCTGGAGAACCTGCCTTGCACTTGGGAGGAAGCTGTAACAGAAAACAGGGTTCAAAAGAGAAGCTGAACAAGACCACGGCTCTTGCAGGAGCCGTTTGGAAAGCACAGAATCAAGGCTGACATCTTCCACCAAGGAGGGGAAGAAGCACTTGTCCCTGCTGTCAGCTGGCCAGTTAAGCTAGTTACTATCTGAACCCTTTAAAAATAATGTATTTTTGAGATGTCGGGAAAGTTTATCTTAGCTTATCTCCCCAGAGCTGCTTCTGGTGTGGCTGCTCCATTTTCTAGAGTGCACTTTTGAAGACGTTATGTTGATGATTAATAGTTACGTGGCAAAATAAAATTGTTTACAAAACTGTTACTTACACTGTAATTTCTGCTCCCTCATATGATATATTCAAGTACAGCCTCAATAGTCAGTTTAAATTCACTTGTTCCATTGCAAAAATGCAGGATGTAATTACTAACACTTGATGAAATAAGAGAATAACACAATTCAATCTGTACAATAGGCCTCCCTCTGGAGAAAAGCTCAAGCTATTCACAGATGTAATTTTGCACACTCCTTACAGCAGATCCATCACTAGTGGGTAACCATGTTCTGTTGATTCTTAGAGTAGTACCTTGAGATATATTAAACTATATGTGGGTTACAGAATTCAGTTTTGCCCAGATTGGAACATTAAATTTTTGAACTGACATTCAGCATGAATCTGCCACTTTTTCTTGCTATGAAAAGCTTAATTGTTAGAATTTCCATTTAGCAAATTGAAATGCCCCAGTCCTACCCTCCACATAGCATGTTCTGTACTAACATTTTGATAAGAACTAACGACTGGTTGGAAGCCAGGGTGCCAAAGTCATTGCTAAAAGAGCAACTAGGCAAGAAGTGAGAATTAGCCACACGGTACAATGCTCTTTTTTGCTTTGTTGTTGCTTCCAGTCAATGCAGGAGCAAGTAAATAACAATTTTTAAAGGATACTTAGGTACCCAGTTTCCACAGAAGCTACTTGTGTGTGTTTAAAGATTTGGAAATAATGGGCCTGAAGAGATTCTCCTTTTAGAAGCTAAGTTCAGAAGTTAAGTTCATGTCCCGTACCTGCACACTGCTCCCATTTGGTGAAGATCCCACTTTCCAGTGAGGTGTCTGCTGCTCAGTGGTGAAGGAAAAGCTCAAGGAGGTCACTCCATCTCTAGCCTAGTGCAACTGTCCTGCTAAGCAAAGCTGTGGAGCAATCATCGCTAAGGCACAGCAGAGGCTCCACACACAGCCACAGAGCTTCTATGGAGTTTATTCACGTAGGCCTTTGATGTAATGTGAGACATTTATGCCCCATTAGAAGACGAACTGGGCCCAGGTTTCTCACTGTCCATTTCTTCTTCTGCGCCACCTTGAAACTTGCAGGGCATTGGTGTGGTGAGCGCAGGGGCTGCAGGTTTAGTGCCCGCAGAATCAGCATGTGGGGGAGAAGGTGTGGAAGCACCGCCAAGCAACCTGGAACAAGAAAACATTTCAGATTACCTGGCATAGGCAACGTGACAGGTAACTAAAGCTGCCACATTTATTCCTGCCTCTTCCCCAGCTCAGCAACAAAGCACTCATGTTGAGTTGAGGCACTTCTTCAGGAGCGTAGATAAATGATAAATGAGCTACACCACCCTGGGCCTTCACTGATTATACCCATAAGTTACCAGGAACAGAGTCATTTACAGTAAATTTCCTGTTCATGGTTTATTACTATATGTTAATAAGCAAAAATATAATCAGCATGTGAAGCTGAGATGACAAAGTTGTTTTTTTTTCCCTCCTAAGCTGATCCAGCACTATTAAAATGGGATTTTGACTTGTCTGAGAGCATCAGAGCACTTTACCCCTTACCACGTTCCCCAGACACCACTGGGAAGCAAGTTCACCAAACTAGGAAATGCCACAGAAAGCCTAAATAAAGTTCCTACACCAAAAGCCTCGCCTGCATCACCGTTAACGCAGACTGACACCTTCTCTGTCCCCTTTGGGACAGTTTGTGAGGCAAAGTGAAATACAAGGCTAACAAAGCTGGCTGTGCCAGTGCAGGTAACTGGCAAAGACCTACCTTGAGATGTTTGTGTGTCTCAGCTTATTCATGCAGTTACCAGCCTGCAGGGAGTTATAAAAACCTCCAGGGTTGAGCACTATAGGACGCAAATCAACCATGCTGTGGGAAGACAACAAAAAAGAGGACTAAGCATTCAGCTTTATTCTCTGAACCTAATCAGAATTTACAAAAGTAGGTGCTGAGGGTAGGGAGGAAATAATTGTCCTAAGAGACTAAACAAAAAAGAAATAATCCTCATGCTACTGTCTGAAACTCACAGGAGGAAAAAAAGAGTGTTTCAGAGCCTGAAGACTGATGCTTCAGTCATTCCTACCTTTTCTGGCTCATCGTTGATACACCAGCCCACTGCTGCTTCAGGTCAGGGCTTGAAGCTGCGTTTCTGTCCACCTGTGGTTTATAAAAGCACATTCTAGACAGCACTAAAAAAGCCTTTTCTTTTTTTACACCATGAAGACAGCTAAGCCAACAGCTAGTGTTTTTCCCTTTTTCCTTACAGCTGTTCCTACTTGGGTAAGCTCCTGAGGTCTGGAAGTGCCTTGTAATAGATACTTCTTTCTTCTCAAAGGGCCTGGAATTCCCAGAACAAGTAAAAGCTATTTCATATTTGACAAGTCTTCTCTCCAAATGTGTGCAGGTTCTCAGAGCAGAGTCCTGCAGCTGGAGACGCTTCATGGGCTGTGCTCCAGAGAGGGCAGCACAGACTGCACATGGACAGCAGGACTCGTACCTAGCAGACAGGGTGCAAGAGAAGCCTCCCACATTTAGAGTCAGATTGCTCCTATGGACAAACCTGCTTATTCACGACTTCTGGAAAAGGTCCAAACACCTTGGGCATGGTGAGCTTGGGAATTTCAGGAATCCTGGAGTGAAAGGGGCTAAATCCACCTTCTAAAGGTTTCTTCTTTCCACGCAACTGCCTTGAACGTCGCCCTTTCCCTATCTTTGCAGCTGTAAGAAAAAAAAAAATAGAGGCATTTCAAACCAGTGCCAAGTACCTGTTTGGTTCCCTCGGACTGTTGAAAACCTAGGGCTTGGGCACAAGAAATGGAGTCTTCCTCTCAGAAAACCTCTCCTAGGGTAGTTAACAGCTCCAATTCCAGTGGCTGTCTGGAAGCACTGGGAAAGGAATGACAAGGATCTCAGCCAAGTCTCCCAAATGAGTGTTTCTGATCACTACAAGCAGCCACCATTTCCCATGTATCCTGATGCAGGAGTTTTGAGATTTTGAATTAACTGGGCCTTTGCAGATTATCAAAGAGATGTCGAGAGGAGAAAATTTTGATAGAGGATTTTGCATCTCCAGTCCTGCTGGCCTGGCCATCTCCATCACAGATCTGTGAAATACGATGAAATACTATCTTTCAAATGCCAGATTTCTCCTGGCTGATGCTTTCCTTCTGAAGGAGCAGGAAATTCTGGTATATAGGCTTTTAAAAACACCTTTGATTTTTCTGGTTACTGTTTAACAAGTGATCTTGATCTTTTGGAATTAAGACACAAAGAGGCCCATTAATTCTTTCCCTCTTGTCCTACTGCTTCCATGACCTTTTCTATCTGCAAGAGTCCCCAGCAGGAACCGTGCAGCTGAGCAGTCTGTCACCTGTGTGCTAAGTCCTCACAGAACAGGAAATCATGCAAGGGACAATCAGAAATTCCTACTTGCTCACCCTGACAGTAACATCAACTAAGCAGGTAACAATTGCTAAGGCTAAACATAAACAGAGAAAGAAAAAATGAATGTGTTAGAGGAGTTCATAGTATACAGGGTTGCAGAACTCGGGCAATCTGTGCAGGTTCAGCATAGGCAAATTAGAAAAGGCGGGTTTTGCAAATAACAATATTTCTGGGATTCTCTGTTATTCCATTATCAGAAAAAGTTTGCAAAAAAAGAAACATATAGGAAGATTCAAGCGCATTCTGCATCCAAATTTCCACTATGATCACACAAGCTCATGCCAGTAAGAGCCA